AGATATGGAAATCAAGAACCCAGTTCAGATGCAAGTTCTCTTCAACAGGCTATGGCGCATCAGCGCCTGAACATCCCAACCTTCGTCACTGTGTCCAACCCCACTGTTCACACACGCTCACTCTGGATCACCCTGAATACCACCACACACATACGCTATGTCTAACTTCCTCCTACAGCGGCTATGGCCGGACTACCACTGCCGACTATGGCTACGATCTCCCTTCAGCCCACTTCGTCATCGGGCAACCTGCAGGCCACCTTCGCACAAGACGCTGTAGCAGCGCTTCCGCATGGCTTATGCAGCGAATGAATGTATGGCTGAGCGCTGCCTCTTGATTTATACTTCTGTAACTCGTTGGTCTGCCCCTTTCCATCGGCCCATGGTGCACACAGTCCCTCTTGGTACTTGCTGGACTGGACTGGGACTGACTGGACCGGTACCGCTGACTGCATGGGTTTGCACTGCCAACTCGATGCAGTCGCACTGCCGACGTAATGCAGTTGGGCTCACCACTTGCTCACTTGCCTCTGTCTAAACGTGAGACAAACTTCGAAAGGCTGCTTCCAGAACTTTCGGAAGTCTGTGAGCTTGGCCTTTCGGGTACTGTAGCAGCTACAACCTTGACCTTTCAGGACTGTAGCAGCTACGACCTCGACCTTTCAGAATGCCTATAGCTACGACCTCTACAAAGCTGTGACCCCTACTCGACAGACCTACAGATCGAATCCCTACATCTACACAGTCCTGCGACAGACAAACAACAACTAACGAAACACAGGTCACGGGTTCAAACACTCGGTCTCAACTCGATACTGTACATGGGTAAGGTAAGGTCTGGGGATCGAACCCTGGAATCTGCATCTGCCTCTGCAGAGGTGAAAACCGTTTCAAAAGCATCGAAGCCAATTAACACACTCTCGCCACCACCAACAATGCCATTGAAGCTTTTCCTCCTTGTGGTGCTCAGCGCCCAGAGTACTATCCTACAGCTACCCTATCAGCCTACAAAATGACAACGCAACCAGTTGAAGTCAGCAGCAGCAACCGAAATACATGCAGATGTCCACCATGTAGACCCCTGCCCAAACCAGGTCCGTGCCCTCCCATCCTCATGCTCACCCTCAACTTCTTCTCCCACGTCTCCTCTCTAGCCGAAGACCACCACCATACCCCCACTGACCTTCGTCCAAGCCAAGCCCGGCTATAGAGGGCTATAGAGGGCTTGGCTATGGCGCTGCCACCTTGCAGCGCCCTGGTTCTACAGACGCCCGCACGCACCAAGGCTCTTGCGCTAGCGCAGCAGCACGCGAGCTCTCGCTCCAGCAGCGCTGCGGCATGCACTCGCAAGTTCCCGAATGCCACAACCACTGGCGTGCTCTCTCCTATATGGAAAGTGCTCGGCCCGTTTGCTGCCTGGCTGGGGTCCGTGTGTGCAATCTAGCCTCGCGTTGGGCCAAAGCGTCTGTGCCCATGCCCATTCAGATAGTGGCCTGGGACCAAATTGGTTAGGCATGCCCAACCACCCAGGCGCAAACGTGCGGTGCTCCCTGCTTTCCCCACGTTGCTGGGAGAGCCTGGACTCCCTGCTTTCCCCACGTTGCTGGTAGAGCCTGGACTCCCTGCTTTCCCCACGTTGCTGGGAGAGCCTGGACTCCCTGCTTTCCCCACGTTGCTGGGAGAGCCTGGAAGGCTGACGATTAACTTCGGATTCTCACGAGGTGGGCGGATGTAACCAACTGGCGCGTGGTAACTGTGTGGTGCCCACCAAGACTTTGAAAATTTGACAAATTCAGGGCACATTGAGATTTAGGGGCCTCCCTTCACTTACAGCAGGCACGTGCTTGCTGCAGGGGGCTTGTGCAGGTATGCCGAGGGGTAGAATCCTCGCACTAGGCACTAAAGATATCAGTGGTAAGACCAATGCTTCGGTCATTGGTTATGAAGACATCTACTTAGAGGAGAGCATTACTTGGCAGAAAGAAGAAACACACACCAGCTTTAAATCCACCGGACGTTTGTTTTGTTCTGTCCTTCTGCCCGTGTATATGTATTTCTGACACAAAAAGGCGACTAAAAGACCATAACCATTCAATCCCAATCTGTCCGCGCTGCAGAAACAGTCCCGCACAGTCATGCTTTTCGTGTAGAGTTGTGTTTAGCGAACATGACAAAACACACACACACACACACACACACACACACACACACACACACACACACACACACACACACACACACACATACACACCCGTGTTTTTTTCTGTGTGTGTAGGACGCCCAATCACTATTGCTGCATCTGGACAGAAACTTGTCCCAATGCAGGCATACACACACACACACACACACACACACACACACACACAGAAACACACAGACACAGATGCTGAAGACAAGGACGACCTGTCTGTGTCTTTTTCGGAATTGTCGTCGTCGTTTCTCTCTATTTCTCTCACACACACGCGACACGTGCTTACAAAAAAAAAAAAAAAGAAGCTTTGTGTCTTGACCTGAATAGTACACCCAGTCATCAAAGCTGCATCTGGACTGAAACTTGCCCCAAAGCTATAATGACCGTGCATTCTGTTCAGGCTAACACGGTAGCGATAGTAGTAGGAGTAGGAGCGATAGTAGCTGGAGTGGTAGTGCTGGGCAATAGGCAGGAAACACACAAAAAGACCCAAACAAACAAAAACAACATCCCATATCTGGATTTCCAGATTTTCGGGGCTTGCCAAAACAGTCATTGCCAAGAGTTGAAAAAAGATCGGAGTCAATTTTTTATAACTTTTTTCAGGCCCTTAACTGATCAGAGCAGATACTACACTTGATCTTAGCCAAAAGGCTGAGAAAGGTAGAAAAAAGTACACGAAAATTGACAAATAGCTGGGGGGAAAAAAGGCAAAACCAAAAGCCAAACAACCCTACAAAAAAAACAATCCAAGCGTGTATGATATAACAGAGTTCTAAGCTTGGGTTGAAAAAACAGGGACCCCTGTTAAGCACTTGTGGCGATCATTACGCACGAGAGAGAGAGAGAGGGAGAGAGAGAGAGAGAGGGGGGGGGGGAGAGAGAGAGAGAGAGAGAGAGAGAGAGGAGAAAAGGAATGGGAGGATGAAAAGCATATGTGGACGAAAGATAGAGAGAGAGAAAGAACACTGCAAGGCGGAAGGGATAGAAAGAGATCAGCATAACTTATCGTAACATAACCTCGAAATTCGTCTGTCAAGCAGATCTGAAGCATACAATCAGCTACCATCGGCGAGATATTTTCTTAAAAAAAGAGACAGAAAAGCAAAGAAAAAAGCATAGAAACAGGAACAGTTTATTAAGGTCTGCAAGGCGATTCACGGGGGGAGCCGGGTGAGAGAGAGAGAGAGGGGGGGGGCGGAAGAAGAAGAAGAGGGGAGAGGAAATAGGAGAATTGGGATAGGGAGGAGGGGGAGTAGAGGAAGGAGCAGAATCGGGATTAGGGGGAAAAGGAGGGGGAGGACCAGAATCGGTATTAGGGGAAAAAGAATGGTAGGAGGAGTGGAATAGGGAGGGGGGGGGGGGGGGGGGGGAGTAGGAGAATCGGTATCGGCATTAAGGGGGAAAGGAGGGGAAGTGGGAGAATCCGGATTAGGGGGAAAAGGAGGGGGAAGAGGAGTAGCCTAGTAGGGACCGGAGCACAATCGAGGGGAAAAGGAGGGGGAGGAGTGGGAGTAGCCCAGTAGGGGTGGGAGCAGAATCGGGATCTTGAGAGAGAGAGAGAGAGAGGTACCAAAACTTCGAGCTTGTAACAATTCGGTGGAAACACGATTGGGGACTCCCCCAAAGCGCTGATCCTCCCTCCCTCCTCCCCTCCCTCCCTCCCTCTCCCTCCCCACACCCAATCAATCAATCAATCAGTCGATCAGTAATCAATCAATCAACCAATGCGATTGATTGATTGATTGTTAAAAAAAAAAAAAAACGGATGAGACAATGTCTTTCGCTTGGATCGGACAGGCCACGAGGGTGTGCCCCTTGGATCGAGAAACAGGGGCAAAGCCCCGGCTCCACCTCACGAAATACGTGAAATAACGTAAAAAGTAGTGGTATTTCACTTGTGCCGTAAAGCTCCCACTTATTCTACAGAGCACTCTCTCTCTCTCTCTCTCTCTCTCTCTCTCTCTCTCTCTCTCTCTCTCTCTCTCTCTCTCTC